TTTCTTTGTGGAACATTCTGGCTAACCAGAAAAAGTGAGAAAAGTAGTGCCTTGGGAGGTGTAGTCAAGATGACAAATTTTAAGACTGGAAAAGCTCTAAACAGGCTTCATGATTATTGAAGTGGAATGATCCCAAGTAGTGATGTTTAGTAGAATAAAGTGCATGTGATTATTAAGGGAAGACTGGGGCGGAAAGATGTAAAAAACGGAAAAAGATGGAAGAAGATGAGTAGACACTTGCAAGGAACACTGTCAAACTATAAATCCATCCAGTGGGTTGTATAACATTTATGTTTAGTCTAATTTAGACTTCGATAATTTAATCCTAGTTTAATATTTTAACAAGAAATATAAATTAAAATTTTCATTAGTCTGTTTTATTGTTGTTGGGTTTTTTTGAGGTACCCCCTGTTGGGGGAGAGGAACAAGGAAGAATCATCAAAATTCCTCAGTCCCTACAGAATAGCCTGACAAGAACTTGAGAAAACGGAACTTGGAGTTAAATACCTTGTCACGCTGCTACAGTCTCCTACCTCATTCCTTCAGATGCCCTGCCTGGAGAAAGACTTGTGTCTAGCATCTAAGTGAACACATACTGTCGCCCTCTGTAAACCAGGAGGAATGGATCAGGCACTGACTGGAAGGTTGATCTTAACCTACAGTGCCCTTCGTAGACCCCATCTCACAACCATCAAAATCTTGTCCACTAGCCCCCAAGGAACTGGCAAGGAGAGAAGGTGGAGGGGAAATTTATGGAAGTATGTGGCTTAACAGTCAACAGTCATCTTTCTTCACTTATCTTGGGCTACCTGTCTGTAAGTTGTTTGACCCGTCCCGGTGTGAGGACGCATCTTTTTGTGAGAAAAGACAAAAGAGAGCACTTGTAACTGCCTTCTTTGTAATGGAAAAGGAGGAAGAAAAAGCGTCATGAACTAAGTTGCTGTCTTTTATTAATACAGCAAATCAGGGACTCTTCAGGTCTCTGGGGAAACTATTCTTTAGTTTGCTTTAAGAAAACTCAGGATCTGAAAATCTTAGCATGTAAGGCTGTCTTATCAGCATCTGCAGAAGTGCGATGGCCATTGCTAGACACTTAATGTGCATGATTTCACTTAATTATATTTTAAATATGCTTCCCTGGTAATTCTTAAGCTCAACAAAGAGTGAGAAGTGCTGCTAGGAAATAGAGATTCACATTTAACCCTGTGGTACTTTTAAGAAGCAGGTACATAGTTGCATATATGCTTCGGTAGAGATTGTGAACCATCAATAGGGAAGCTCAATATCGCCAGTCAAGTCTGAGAAGCCCTTAATTACTGAGAATCAAAAGAGCAGAATGTCTGTAGACATTTTAGATTTGTTTTAAAAAAGTGTTAAGTGAGTTATACCTGTGATAGCCTGAAAGTTTTTGACATTCTTTCCTGTTCTTCATGTGCCAGTACCATAAACAAAAATTATCTCACATGTATCACTTTCTTCTCCTAAACCACTGTGATTGCAGCTTTTTGCCTTCAGCCTTTTCCCTGTGCAGTATCTCCTGCATAGTTGCCTTGTGATCTTAAGGAACTGTTTTGACTGGGTCACTTCCTTGCTTAAAATTCCATTAAAGGTTCATTGTTAATTCTAGAATCGAGTCCAAAATAGACATGTAAGATCCCTATAATGGATTTTGTCTATTCCCCCTTCTATTGTAATCTCCCATTTTTTTACTGAACTGCTTCAGTGAGCATGGGTCTTTAGAAACCTTGCTTTACAATTCTCCTGGGGCAGGAATACCTTGCCTTCCTCTCCTAGCTTACCACAATTACAACTCTGTTTTAAGTCTCAGAACAAATCTGACTTCCACCTTGTAGTCTTCATCTATGCTTTTTATATCCCTGTGCCTACTCCTCCTCTGAAATCTATGATTTGTCTTTTTATTCATTTAGTATTCCACTACTTTTATTATTTTTTTTTTATGGTTGCATGCGGTCTCTCTAGTTACAGCAGTGCATACATAAATACATACACACCTATGTAAATGTGTGTCGGGTGTATGCATTCACACGCATACATATACCCCAAGGGCCATGTGTCATCTTTAGCAATATTTAAGTATTGGAATTGTTTTGTTTGCCTCCTATATCATGGAATAAATGGTAAAGAGGGCTAAGTTATTGCTGTAAGTGTATTTCTCATGACATTAACATTAGACATATAGAATGCATTGTTTTATTCACTATTTGTAAGATACAAAGGTGTATAAACTGACTTCTACATCAGCTTGAAAACCTGAGATAATGCTAAAATGTTTTAGTTATTTTAAATGTTTAAAGAGGGAAGTGTATAATATTGCTAAACATGAAAAATATTAACAAGGAGAATAAAAAATAGTTGAAGTTCACATTTGGGGGAAATTTAACTGAAAACAAAAATACAAGTATTTTGAAACCTTTCCTTTACTGTAAGTCTCTTGACTTTGAAGTCAGATTTATCTAAAGGAAAAACAGGAATTCTGGAGACCTGTGTGAAAGCTATTATTTTCCTACTCTTGAGTGTACTAAAATTAAAATACGTTCAATGGCGTTTTCCTCAATGTACAAGTATTGAAGTAAATGTTTCTTTTGTGTTATGTTGCAGATACATAGTTACTCTAGAAGTGGCTTTTTTCTTCATGTACTGTGAATAGCAACTCTGCATCCTGTGTTTAAAATATTTGAGAATCCTCTATAGGACTCTTAGTAAATGTTTTAAATACTGTTGTTTTCAATAAATCTTTTATATTATCTGGCTCTGGAATTTCCTATATAATATCAAAAAGAACTATGTCCCTGCAAACTGTAGAATGATGACATATAAAGGTATATTAATAACCTCATCTACAAAATAAATTTGAGAGGTTCAGCGATTCAGGTAAACATTTTGTTATTGCCATTTCAATTACTAGATTCACTGTACATAGTATTTTTAAATGATTTTTAAAAGTATATCTATAGGATCAGTTTTCTCATCTGGAGTCTTTATACTAATTTACTGCCAATGACCCTAATTAAGTAATATTTATAAATTAACACCTGAATAGCTTCTTACTCTTCGTGAGTGGTGTCATCCACGTCTGCTGCTAGAAAGGGTTTAATATTAAATAATTTTATAAAGCCTTAGAAATTCTAAAGCCCTATCACTTACATTTATTGCCTATAACAAAGATAGCACCTAGGGTGTAAAATGAGAGGCTTAGAGTTGATCACAGGTCTCTTGGCTCTAAAGTACTTAGATTTCTTTTCCATCTATAAGGCAGCTATTGCTGGAACTGGAATGGGACACTTCAGATATGTTTTCCGATTTTACTACACCACATTGCCAGTCCAAGTTAGGAACCTCAGAATCCTTCCTCAAAAGTAGGTGATCTAAGAATCTGGTTCAGTATTATCCAGTTTCCAGATGAATACAAATGGGAAAGTGATCGTACCCCAAATAAGTGAAACTGTTGAGGGAGGTTGCTTAGCTTCCTGGGCTTCGGCTTACTCTGTATAAATTTGGAATTATATGAAGGAATAATGTATATCTAAAAAGCTGGGACCCATCACCAGTGCTGGTCTGTGCATGCAAGTTATAAGAACAACAACAAAAAAAATGGCCAGGTGAGGTGGCTCACGCCTGTAATTCCAGCAGTTTGATAGGCTGGCGCGGGCAGATCGCTTGAGGTCAGTAGTTTGAGACCAGCCTGGCCAGCATGGTGAAACCCCGTCTCTACTAAAAATACAAAAATTAGCTGGGCATGTAGTCCCAGCTACTTGGGAGGCTGAGGTAGGAGAATGACTTGAACCTGGGAGGCAAAGGTTGCCATTAGCCTAGATCATGCCATTGCACTCCAGCCATCTCAAAATAAATAAGCTAGGACTCTTAGGGTTAACTTTCCAGTGGAACTAATGGGGTGTAATGATTAGGAGAGTCAGTAGTCAGATTGCCTGGGTTTAGATGTATGACTTTAATAAAGTCATAGCAGTTTGCTTACATGTTACAATAGAAAGTAACCTACCACATAGGTTGTGAGGATTCAGTAAGCTAAATGCACACATGCTTAAGAACACCTGACATTGCCGGGCACAGTGGCTCACACCTGTAATCCCAGCACTTTGGGAGGCTGAGGTGGGCAGATCACCTGAGGTCTGGGGTTGGAAACCAGCCTGACCAACATGGAGAAATCCTATCTCTACTGAAAATACAAAATTAGCTGAGCGTGTTGGCAAAACACCTGACATTTAGTAAGGGATTCAATATTCAAATAAGTTTCACACCGGTAATTTGGGGAAGAATGGCTCAGTAGGTGGTAATGGTAGTTAACACATAGACTGAGTATGCCCTGGGCACCATTCCTAAATACTTTTCATGTTGAATTTAATTCTTTTAACAATCCTATCAAGGGTTTTTTGTTGTTTTTGAGATAGGGTCTTGCATTGTCAACCAAACTGGAGGGCAATGACACAATTATGCCTCAATGCAGCCTCTCCCTCCTGGACTCAAGCAATCCTCCTTCCTCAGCCTCCCAAGTAGCTAGGACTGTAGGCAAGCACCACTATGCCCAGCTAATTAAAAAATTTGTGTGTGTGTGGAGACAGGGTCTCACTCTCTTGCCCAGGCTGGTCTAGAACTCCTGGTCTCAGGTGATCCTCCCAACTCAGCTTCCCAAAGTGCTGGAATTACAGGCATGAGCCACCACGCCTGGCTATGAAGTAGTATGCTGAGCCACATTTTACAAATAAGGATACAAGTGTAGTGAAATTAAGTATTCTGCCCATGTTCAGAGAGCTAGTAAATGAAGGGAGTAGAATACTGACTCAGGTAGTCTAGCTTGAGTACACAGCGTAAGTACTTCTACAGCTGTTACCAAACATCACTACAGTGTTGGGGGCTAAACTCACAAAATCAAATATGCCACTTCATCAGTACTTGTGGGCAGTCAGAATCTTTAGATTTACATATTAAGTAAGCACTTTAAAGTTATTTCAAATAAGACCATGTTTTAAATTGCTAACACGTTTATTCATGAATGAAGCCAAGAAGAATTTATAAATGCATTTTAATACCTTGCTGATAAAATAGTAACATTCCATCTTTGCAATCTGATACGGAATACAGGAAGATACTGGTAAAGGCTTTGATGTGCATATCTATTATAACCAGGTAATCAGAACACGCACGAACCACCGACTTAAAGTGTTACACCATACCATCTTCTCAGAAGAGCCAGCTTCAAGCGCTACTGGGTAGCTGAGTAAGTAGCGTCCAAGGTTTAAAGACTGGAGAGCAGGGGAGAAAGATGAAAGGAGAAAGCAGCACACACTTCAAAGCCCACTTTTAAGCACACAACATTATGAATATTAAAAATAAAGGATGCAAACAAAAAAGGCAACTCGGCATCTTCAGAAAGAGCATTTGGCACTATTCAACGCATGAGGAGACTGTGCTTGGGGCCATCCACTCTCTCCAGCTTCTCCAAGTGTTTCCTGGCATTGCGAATGTTGATCAGGGTGGCCGCAGAAGGGATCGACGGATCTGACATGACCACCATCACGTACGCGTTTGAGGTGAAGATATCGATGAAAGCCGCGAAGTTGGAATTCCTAACTTCCATGCTCTGAAAGGAAGCGGCCAATTTACTGCAGCTCAGCTTGAACTGCTGGATGATGTTGCTGATCTTCTCAAACCGATGGACGTCGCGCTGCTCTTTGCACTGGTAGTGGGAAATAACCAAGAACGTAGCTCTTTCGAACAGCAGAACTTCATCGGCCTCGATGATTTGGGCAAAATTCCGGAGGTTCATCTCCAGCTGCTGAACAGTGGGAATGAGCTGGTAGACGATGCTGGACCAGGCTTTGTAGAGCGTCTTATCCCAGATGGACGTTCGAAAACAAGCACACTCCAGCGGGCGAGACAGACGCCTCAGGTCTTCCTCTCGCTCTTTAAAAATCAGGTCATGCTGATTCTCCTGAACCAGATCCATTTTGTGCACCAGGCAGAAAATTTCAGGACAGTTCTGGAGGATGGCCTCCAGACATGACTGGTAATAATCCATATCCTTTTCCAGTTCATGGCTCGCCATGTAAAACACGTAAATAAAACCCTCTATGTTAGGGAAGATGTTGTCTCGCTGGCTGGTGAAGTAATTTTCCATAAAGGAGTCCTGACCGCCAGAGTCCCACAGGGTCAGCACCAGGTTCCCCAGGAATCGGACATGGGAGTGCTCCACGTCAACGGTGGCCCCCAGGCGCCATTGCACTCCAGCCTGGATAAACGAGAGGGAAACTCCGTAACAACATCAACAAAAAAAAGCCGGGCACGGTGGCTCACGCCTGTAATCCCAGCACTTTGGGAGGCCGACACGGGTGGATCACGAGGTCCAGAGATCGAGACCATCCTGCTCAACATGGTGAAACCCCGTGTCTACTAAAAGATCGAAAAAATTAGCTGGGCATAGTGGCACGTGCCTGTAATCCCAGCTGCTCTGGAGGCTGAGGCAGGAGAATTGCCCGAACCCAGAAGGCGGAGGTCACAGTGAGCCCAGATCATGCCATTGCACTCCAGCCTGGGTAAACAAGAGCGAAACTCCGTAACAACAACAAAAGCCGGGCGCGGTGGCTCACGCCTGTAATCCCAGCACTTTGGGAGGCAAAGGCAGGTAGATCACGAGGTCAAGAGACGGAGACCATCCGGTCAACATGGTGAAACCCCGTCTCTACTAAAAATACAGAAAAGCCGCTAGGCATAGTGGCGCGTGCGTTTAATCCCAGCTGCTCAGGAGGCTGAGGCAGGACAATTGCCTGAACCCAGGAGGCGGATGTCCCGGTGAGCCGAGATCGTCCCATTGCACTCCACCCTGGGTAAACAAGAGCGAATCTCCGTCTCTCAAAGAAAAAAAATAAAAAATAAAATCCGGGCGTGGTGCCTCACGCCTGTAATGCCAGCACTTTGGGAGGAAGAGGCAGGTGGATCACGAGGTCAAGAGGTGGAGACCATCCTGGTCAACATGTTGAAACCCTGTCTCTACTAAAAATACAAAAAAAATAGCTGGGAATAGTGGCGCATGCGTTTAATCCCGGCTGCTCAGGAGGCTGAGGCAGAAGAATTGTCTGAACCCAGGAGGGGGTGGTTGCGGTGAGCTGAGATCTCACCATTGCACTCCAGCCTGGGTAAAGAAGAGCAAAACTCGGTCTCTAGGGGGAAACAAACAAACAAACAAAAAAGCCGGGCCCCATGGCTCATGCCTGTAATCCAAACACTTTGGGAGGTCGAGGAGGGTGGATCACGACCTCCAGATATGGAGACCATCCTGGTCAACATGGTGAAACCCCGTCTCTACTAAAAATACAAAAAAATTAGCTGGGCATAGTGGCAGATGCCTGTACTCCCAGCTGCTCAGGAGGCTGAGGCAGGACAATCGTCTGAACCGAGGAGAGGGAGGTTGCAGGGAGCCCAGATCACACCATTGCACTCCAGCCTGGGTAAACAAGAGTGAAACTCCGTCTCAAAAAAACAAAAACCCGGGCGCGGTGGCTCACGTCTGTAATCCTACTACTTTGGGAAGCCGAGGCGGGTGGATCACGAAGTCAAGAGATCGAGACCATCCTGCTCAACATGCTAAAATCTCATCTCTACTAAACATCCAAAAAATTAGCAGGGCATAGTGGCGCGTGCTTGTAATCCCAGCTGCTCAGGTGGCTGAGGCCGGAAAATTGCCTGAACCCAGGAGGTGCGGGTTGCCCTGAGCCGAGATCACGCCATTGCACTCCACCCTGGGTAAACAAAAGTGAAACTCCGTCTCAAAAAAAAAAAAAGCAGGGCGCAGTGGCTCACGCCTGTAATCCCAATCCCAGCACTTTGGGAGCAGAGGCGGGTGGATCACGAGGTCAAGAAATCTAGACCATCCTGGTCAACATGTAGAAACCCCGTCCCTACTAAAAATCCAAAAAATTAGCTGGGCATAGTGGCGGGTGCCTGTAATCCCAGCTGCTCAGGAGGCTGAGGCAGGGCAATTGCCTGAACCCAGGAGGCAGAGCTTGCGGTGAGCCGACATCGCACCATTGCACTCCAGCCTGGGTGAACAAGAAAAAAAACTCTGTTCTTATAAAAAAAAAAAAAAAAAGCCTGGCGCCATGGCTCATGCCTGAAATCCCAGCACTTTGATAGGCTGAGGTGGGTAGATCACGAGGTTAAAAGATTGAGACCATCCTGGTCAACATGGGGAAACCCCGTCTCTACTAAGAATCTAATCCAAAAAAGTAGCTGGGCATAGTGGCACGTCCCTATACTCCCAGCTGCTCAGGAGGCTGAGACAGGAGAATTGCTTGAACCCAGGAGGCGAGGGTTGCGGTAAGCCAATATCCCGCCATTGCACTCCAGCCTGGGTAAACAAGACAAAAAGTCCGTCGCTGGAAAGAAAAAAAAAAAAAAACCTGGCGCGGTGGCTCACGCCTGTAATCCCAGGACTTTGGGAGGCCGAGGCGGGTAGATCACTTGAGGTCAGGAGTTTGAGATCTGCCTGGCCAACATGGTGAAACCCCGTCTCTATAAAAAAGAAAAGAAAAAAAAACAATAAAGGTCATGCAGCATTCATTATGTATTGGTTTTATCAAAAGTTGAGAGAACACTTCAACAAGTGCATATGCATAGGTCTGGTTAAACCTTACCTGTCAAATTAGGTAGTTCTCCAAGACTACATGATATTGTGGTCCTCAGTCTTTGTTCCACTGGAGAAAACTTAATTAGCGGTGAAAGAGACTGTTTTCTTTCACCAATGGACATGCGTAACGATGGCTCTGTATGGTCAGTATGCAAATAAATCATGGGTGTCCAAAAAGTTAAGCATATCCTCTGTTTGTACACTTTGGGTAGTAGGACTCAATACTGGTTTGTGTCTTTCAGGTGTTAGGGGATTCCGGAGGTAAGATTCTTCCCTTTTCTTGGAAAGCCATTTCTTTAGAGCCTCATAGCTACTGCAAAGAGCCTGAATATTGAAGTCTGATTCTGCAGTAGTCTGTCTCCTTTCCACAACATGTTCTAGAAGAATGCCACCACGCATAGGACTATTTGGCTCCAGTTTAGAATTGGCCTCTGAACTACTGGAACTATTAAAACTTAGGTGACCACCTTCTTCCGGAAGAGTTTCATGTAATATGCCAAAATCAGTATCTTTAAAACTCTCAGAACTAATTCCACTTGATATCTGAAAAGAGTTCCACAAGGCAGTTTTATTTGTGGAAGGCTTGTTACAAGAAGCTTGCAAGTGGTCCAGCGTTTTAGTATACTCCTCTTCACTGCCACGCATCACATCTATCCTGTTGCCGACAGCAGGGGAGAGTGTCTCCATTTGGCTAGTTCCTGAAAGCTTGGTTCAGGCTATACATTCCAAATCTTGCTTGCAAATTACTTTCTTCTTTAACAAACCTGACTGATTTTGTGTTAGCGGTTCATCTATGTGACTGGTCACCACACGTTTCTGAGGCACACCCACCTTGCAATCTGAAACATCTTTCTCTTCAGTCGAATGAGACTGGCCAAAATCTGATACAGTGGTTTCAGAGAGAAAATCGGCCATGCTAAATTCTCTTTGATCATGCCACACAGACGGTGATTCTGGCAATACTTCTCTATGCTCAGTATCCATTTGAATGGGTCCTGTAGTTCTGTTTTTCTTCCATTTCAATAGCTTATCTCCATGAACTCCTAATTTCATTTACTAATTAAAAGGGGAGAAAACACAATTTACTAACATTCCCAAACACAGAGCATGCAATGAATCATTTTATTTCTAACACCGAAGATAAAGCTCCTGACTCAGTATGTGTTCTATAAATATACTGGTTGGATGACAAGGCTCCAAGATATAACAAATCCCACCATCAAAGAACCCCATCTCCAACTGATCACACACAAATAAACACATATAAAGACAGATGTTCCTGAAATATGCATCAACTTTTACATAGCACATATGAATTGCATGTATTCAAAAGAAATTTTCTTGTCCATCTAGGCCACGGTTTGGCAAACGTTTTCTGTAAGGGCCAGATAGTAATATGTTAGGCTTTGCAGGCCATCCGTTCTGTCTAACTACTTAACTCTGCCATGACAGCATGAAAGTAGCCATAAACAATGGCAGCAAATGAATACGCTTATGTTCAATACAATTTTCTTTAAAAAAACACACAAGTGGAGCCCCATTTGGTTCAGAGGCTGTAGTTTCTGACCTAGGCTGTGGCTGAGTTCAAACCAAATTAAATCAACAGCAAAACAGAAATTATTTAATTACACAACCAAGATGATGTGCCTCTTAAGGACACCAGTATCAGAGCTTTGCCTACACAAATTACAGGTTATGGGGAAAAAGGTATTGGGCAGTTTGACTCATTTAGGAGGGTTTATGGCTGATGCTTCTTGTTGATAACTGGAAGAACAGAGCCTCTGTACTCTATAAATATGTGCATAACAGGTCAGACCTGGAGGCAAGAGATTTTTTTTTTTTTTTTTAAGACGGGGTTTCACCATGTTGGTCAGGCTGGTCTTGAACTCCCGACCTCAGGTGATCTGCCCGCCTTGGCCTCCAAAGTGCTTGGATTACAGGCGTGAGCCACCACACCCGGCCGAGATTTTTTTAATGCTCAAATAAGATCTTTCTAGATAAAAGCCAAGTAAAACAACAAAAACAGAATTGCGTATTATCAAAATGTTATATCTCTGTATAATGAGTACACTAAAGTTAGCACAAAATACTGCTAAAAGACTGTTATGGGAGAATGCCCACACTTAGTATGTTGATAAAAGTGCCTTAGAGCAGGATAAATAAAAAGTCATTGCCGCCAGGCCCAGTGGCTCACGCCTGGAATCCCAGCACTTTGGGAGGCCGAGGCGGACGGATCATGAGGTCAAGAGATCGAGACCATCCTGGCCAACATGGTGAAACCCCGTCTCTACTAAAAACACAAAAATTAGCTGGGCGTGGTGGCGTGCACCTGTAATCCCAGCTACTTGGGAGGCTGAGGCAGGAGAATTGCTTGAACCCTGGAGGCGGAGGTTGCAAAGAGCCGAGATCGCACCACTGTAATCCAGCCCGGCGCCTGGCGACAGAGCAAAACCCTGTCTCAAAAAAAGAAAAAGAAAAAGAAAAAAAAAAAGTCATTGCCAACTAAGCTAAAAAGATCTATCAGGCCATGGTTCTAACAGTGGTAATGTAAAGGAAAGACAAAAGAGTTACAGAGAGCATTATTAACTTACTCAAGTTTTCTGGAGTGCGGGGAATCGGATTCCTTGCTAAGAAGGGGTTAGAACCCAGAGAGTCAATTAGTTCCTCTAATTTTATTTCTTTTCCTTCAGAGAACTGTGGTGCATCAGATAAAACTGCTCTGGCAACCTAAAACAGAAAAGAAAAAGTAGAGCAAAGATGACCAAGCCCGTTGGTAGAATGCAACAAACCCCTGATAAGCACTTCATGGTCAGCAGCCCCTCCCTTTGCAGACAGCACAAAAATAAGCAACAGAGAAGTTCCCAGACAACTCTGTAGAGACCATCTAGGTACAATCCTGTAAACAGAAATGATACTCTAAAGTATTTCCTCATCTTAAATGGAGAGCCCATATGAAGGAAAGAATAGATAACAATCTTTTTTTTTTTGAGACGGAGTTTCCCTCTTGTTACCCAGGCTGGAGTGCAATGGCGCGATCTCGGCTCACCGCAACCTCCGTCTCCTGGGTTCAGGCAATTCTCCTTCCTCAGCCTCCTGAGTAGCTGGGATTACAGGCACGTGCCATCATGCCCAGCTAACTTTTTTGTATTTTTAGTAGAGACGGGGTTTCACCATGTTGACCAGGATGGTCTCGATCCTTGACCTCGTGAAAAATAAAAATAAGAAAACCAGTACTCTCTCTACTCCGCCTCACTGCCTAGAGGTCTATCCAACAGGGCAAAGTTACATACTTTTGCCTTGAGTGAGAAATCCCCAGTCCAGGTTCTTCTCTCTCCAAACATATAATCACCTAGTCACTTAGGTGATTTGACTCTCCACTGCCTTATCCACATCTGTGCTATTTAGAAGAAGATACCTCCTTGGGCCTGAAGCAGAGTTTAAGACGCATTATGAACAAGCGCACTCACCTTTGTGCCGAGAAAAAAACGCTCTCTCCTCTAGATACAGTAATCCCAACACCAGAACCCCGGGCTCAGTGAATGAAGAACAACAGACTGGACTTTAGCCCACAGTCACCCTTGGCTGGGCATCTTGACTGCCACAGGATCTGCACAAGCATACCTGGCAGTCCGGCAGTAACATGCCAGGGCCATGAGCAGAGAGAACTAAGAGGAGCCCACCACTGCCTCAAGACACACTTCCCTTTATTGGGAAGACAGGTGGGACATTAGGAGAAAGGTTTTTTGTTTTCTTTCTTTTTCTTTTGTAGAAAAGTATATTAACTGAGTGCGGGGGCTCATGACTGTAATCCCAGCACTTTGGGAGGCCGAGGCAGGTGAATCACCTGGGGTCAGGAGTTCAAGATCAGCCTGGCCAAAATGGTGAAACCCCATCTCTACTAAAAATACAAAATCAGCTGGGCATAGTGGCACACGCCTGTAATCCCAGCTACTCGGGAGGCTGAGGCAGGAGAATTGCCTGAACCCAGGAGGCGGAGGTTGTGTTGAGCCGAGATCGCGCCATTGCACTCCAGCCTGGGTAACAAGAGCGAAACTCCATCTCAAAAAAAACAAAACAACACAAACAAACAAAAAAACAATCTGTATGTTCCAAGCTCACCACAGAATAAGTGAAGAGATTTTCAAGTAAGACTGACCCTGTTTCCCCATTGTTATCCTGGGAACAGAAGCCCTCGCACATGCTGAGCAGTGCTGGCCAGGAATAGACAGACTCCGTACCCTGATGAGTCCTGGATGTGATCCATGTGAACTGACAGGGTGTGCAGCCCACCCCGATTTGAGGCAAGTGTTCATTTCCCTCCTTACCGGCATCGCGTTGCCAGCATCTTCTCCACACATAAACTGGATCTTTATTGTCATGTTCCGGGCTGATGCTAGTTTGTTAGCAAAGTTCAGCCTCTGTGGGTAGACATAGAGAGGATTTCTGAAAAAGGAGGGATAAAGAATTAATGAAAAAGGTCGAGAGTTTACTTTAACTAAGTTCGCAGCAAATGCTGAGACTTCCATTCATGGGGTGCTTTTTCCAAAGGAGTTTTTCCTCTTGAAGTGAATTATTATTGGAGGAGAGAGTGAATTACTTGATTCTTCCTCTTAAGTCACAGTCATCTGAAAATAACCCCTATTGCTCTCTCTTTTGCTACAAGTAAAGAGTGCTGCAGCTCACAAAGTCTTAATGTCTTGGAATGTGGAAATCTGCCTAGAGATAACTGTATCTCTGACAGTCAGATAAAGAAAGCAAAACGGGTCCAGCTCATTTCAAATAAAACTCATGGCCACAGGTGATGGCCTAATGCCATTCTTCTCTTTTTCCCTTCCTAACCTTTATGTAGTAGTCTCCTTTTCTTACTGGCACAGCACTCGTATTGGCTTAGCTTTCTCCTCTCATCTAAGATGACAGCTCAAACCCCCAAGCTCAATTACTGTATAACAACAACAACATGAATAATATAGCCATTCATTTGACAACTAGAGGACAGGTACTACGCTACGCAGTGCCTGGGTAACTTGCATATGTTCTTCTTTCTATTTGCATTATGTGTAGATTCCACTCAAATGTAAGTTCCACAAGGATAGGGATTTTTCTCTGATGTTTCTGATCCACTGATATATCTCCAGCAGCTAGAAATAAAAATTCTCATATTCCATCTTATATCTACTAAATCAGAATCTGAATTCAAATGCAAGTAAAGTGTCAGAAGCACTTTTCTCTAAGACAAAAACAGAAAAGCTGTTTGTGCTCCCTCCCTCCCCCCCCCCCCCCCCCCCCCCCGCCCCCTCTCTCTTTCTTGAGACACAGTTTTGCTCTTGTCGCCCAGGCTGGAGTGCAATGGCACCATCTCGGCTCACTGCAACCTCCAACTTCCAGGTTCAAGCAGTTATCCTGCCTCGGCCTTCTGAGTAGCTAGGATTACAGGTACCCGCCACCATGCCTGGCTAAATTTTGTATTTTTAGTGGAGAAGGGGTTTCACCATGTTGGCCAGGTTGGTCTCGAACTCCTGACCTCAGGCGATCCATCCACCTTGGCCTCCCAAAGTGCTGGGATTACAGGTGTGAGCCACCGAGTCTGGCCTGTTGGTGCACTTTCAACAGGGTTACTGTTGAAGACTGTTCTGTCATTAACCATCTGAAGATCTCTCAAAAAATTTCTCAAACATCAAGGACCATGATAAATCACTTGTTAATAAGATACACCATGTATCCAATTTCCATTATTGCTATGTCTTTCAGGAAGATCAGAGACAATTTAACAGTTCAAAGTTCATAACCATGTCGGACCATATATTCTAAACTCGACCTGGGGTTGACAGTCTCTTCCTCATTTTCTCTGATCTTAGTTTTTATTTATCTGGTCTTGTCATCCTACTATAGAGATTGTTAGATGTCTCCTAAATCCACTAAAAGTAAAAGAAAGTAACAAATAAATAGATGAACAAATAAGAACTTACCAAGGACTTGGTCATTTTTGGCTCTTCGGACAAAGGGGCAGAGATCTGAGAAAACAGATGGGCAGAGGTACAGATGGGAGAAGGAAGTGTGCCAGTGTCACCCATGGACACATACATCAGTTAGTGCCCATGTACCTTGCTCAAAAATTTATTTCTAGAGCTACAACATTAAAATATCATCCCATCATCACATATTGTATAAAGATTTAAGTGCCAAAGTTCTATCGTTACACGGCTAATAAAAAAGAAAGATTAGATTATCCAACACGGTGGTTGCCAAAAAAAAAATTAGAAACATTTAAATATCCAAGAATTGTTGATTGCTTAAATATTTTATAAAATATCCAAAGGACATATTGTTCTATTACATTATCATACTATCTGATTTCAAAGGCCCTTTTAAGTTATCACCAACCCTGGTACCTAACTCCTCATTCTCACTCTTTAATCTGCTCTAAGTGTCAATTGCTACCCAGTGACTCTACTCCCAAAGCCATTACTGACATCTCAGATTCCCTGATTCCCATGCCTTGCTGCCCATGAGCCCTGAATCATTCATCCTACAGTTCCTGAATCAGAGAGCTTTCAATTACTCTACTCTAATGGTCCTGGCTCCCTACCAATCATTCCCATGTCCCCATGACTGGCCTCCATGCCTGTATCTCCATCAGACATCCTAAGAGTCCCAATCCTAGGCACACCTGTACCTGCACTGGGGCCTTAGCACACAAACACATCTCCCACCGCTGACAAAACTAGGCCATAAACTCCTCCACACATGCAAACAGGAACTAAATCAATGAACAAATCTGGGGAAATTATTGAATGTATAGGATACATTTATACATAGAGAACACTTTAAGTGTGAAAAACCAGACTATTCGGAGAAAGAATGAAGGAAATAAGAAAACTCTTCATTTGCAGTACCAAAAGTGAAATGATGTCAGAAATAGCAACTAAAAGACCACTCTTCTGTCAGGGCGAGAGAGGCATTTTCAGAAATAAAACCACTTGCAGAGAGTATCTCTATCTTTGAGAGAAATACCGAAAGTAGTCCAAATAAATGTAAAATGAATCTCACAAGAAATCTTCAATAGGAAAATACTGCTCAGTAATAATTCTTGCAGCAAAATATATATAATTACAAAAAAGGACAATGTGACAATGGGATCAAGAGGCCACTAAAGAGAAAATTAATAATGTCCTATGATAAAATGTTCCTAATCATCGCAGGAAAAAACAGAAAAAATGGGGTGCAGAATGGAAACAATGAGCAGAAATTTCATCCATCCAATCAAAATATATAAAGAAAAGGCAGAAAATAAAACGAGCTAAATAGTGAACACCAAATGGAAGGCATACAATCAGATAAATCATTATTACAATAAGTAGAGGTAAAATTCTATCAACAGAGACTATAAGTTGGATTTGAAAAAAAACCTTTGTTTTCAATATCTATTGAAAACAAATAGGTAATGTAACATAGAAACAGATATGGATACAAATGAAGCGCTGGGCAAAGACACATCATCCAAATGCAACAAAAGTAAAAACAAGTGGCCGTGTAAGTATCAACGTGGCATTTTTAAAAACATATTCTCGATATTAATCTTACATATGTATGTATGATCTGCAAATATTTTCATGCAATCCATGAGTTGCCTTTTCACTCTACTGATAGTGTCCTTTGATGCACAAAACACTTTTATTTGGATTAAATCCATCTATTCTCTTATTGGCTGTGCTTTCAGTGTCTTTGAT